ACTCTTATCTTCTATAAATCACAGAAAAAGCCAGACATGGCAGCTGTGGCTCAAGTGGTAGATTGCTAGCCTTGTGTAAAAGAAGCTCAGAGACATTGCCAAGGCCCTGAATTGAAGCCTAAGGACTGGCAAAAAAATAAAAATGAGGTAGGAGAGAGCGAGATAATAGGTTTTTAGTGTGTGATATCTTGGGTATGTGGTCAGACTAGTAGTAGCCACAGGGACTGCTATTATGTACTGGGAGGGTTTTGTTGTAGTTTGTGTGCCAATAGTGGAGCTAGGATTACAGGTGTGAGCCACTAGCTTCTGGCTTGGTGATTTTTGTTTTGGTGCCACTGGGGATGGAACCTCAGGCTCATCAGACATCTTACACCTGTGAGTCTAGGCGAGTTGATAACAGCTTCTGGACTAACACTAAACGCTTGTGAGTTCCGACCTTCCCTTGAAATTGCATTGTGATTTGACTTTGGCATCTGTTTTGTCCCTCCCTCACCCACAGTGGTGGACTTGCTTTGTGAAGAGACAGTTCATGAACAAGAGCCTTTCAGGACCTGGGCAGTGAGGGCCCTGGCCACGAGGTCCCTTCGCTTTGATTCCTTTGTGCTTGGCTTTGTGTGGAAGAGAGGAGAGAGCATGGCTGTCCTTGGAAAACGTCCTGATCGAATATCCTGGGGGAAGGAGAGAGGGTGGGATCTCTGGGGTGACTGGCCATTTTCTATAGGTTTAAGCTGATGTTTAATAATAAGTGCTAATAAAGACATTTTTTAACATTTCACATCAGAAAAACTTGTTTTTGGCTGGCCCTGGGTTTTGGAACTCTGGACCTGGGCACTGTCCCTCAGTTCTTCAGCCCAAGGCTAGCGCTCTATCACTTGAGCCACAGCACCACTTCCAGCTTTTTCTGCTTATGTGCTGCTGAGGAATCAAACCCAGGGCCTCATGCTGAGATCTGAGGATTGCAGTTCAAAGCCAGCCCAGGCAGGAAAGTCTGTGACACTCTTATCTCCAATGAACCACCAGAAAATGGGAAGTGGCACTGTGGCTCTAGTGGTAGAGCACTAGCCTGGAGCTGAAGAGCTCCGGGTCAGCGCCCGCGCCCAGAGTTCAAACCCCACAACTGATCAAAGGAAAAAAAAGTCTCATGGACTTTCCTGCCCAGGCTAGCTTTGAACCCCATCCTCAGATCTCAACTAGGATCTTAGCTAGTATTACAGGCGTTGGGATTCTTCATATATTCATAGAGCCAGTCCCTAATCTGGTATGTGATTTTCAAGCTTCCTTCATTTTATGGGCTTAATTGTCCATGTACTGTTCTAAAAAAAAGTTTTCTTATGCAAACTTGGGTGTGTTTTGTTTTTAAAATTTAATTGAAATTCTTATCTTGGGGTTTGAGTTGAAAGTCTGTTGTGGACTCATAGACCTGAGAAAAAGGGAAAGGAAGGAAGACAAGGGAGCCAAGGTGACTCATTTCCAGATTAAAGGTTTGTTTTCTGACTCCCCACCCCACCACTTCAAATTGTGAACCCCTTTGATAGAACAAGTCACCCTATGGTTTGTTCCCCTAATGACCAGCAGGGGGAGCGTGGGTGCTAGAAACAGCTGCAGACAATGTGGATAAATGGAGACAGCCGGTTGCCTTCTGTGTCATACATGTAATTCAGATATGTTTGTTTATTATTAGTTATGGGGCTTGAACTCAGGGCCTGGGTGCTGTCCCTGAGTTCCTTTACTCAAGGGAGTGCTCTATCACTTTGAGCCACAGCTCCACTTAGGGTTTTGGAGTGGTCAGATGGAGGTAAGACTCTCACAGGGACTTTTCTGCCCTGCTGGCTTTGAACTGTGATCCTCAGTTTTCAGCTTCCTGAGTAGCTAGGATTACATGTGTGAGCCACTGGTGTCAGGTTCATGCATTTTTTTCTTTCTTTATATTTTTCTTTTTTTAAAAAAATTTAATGTTTTTTTTTTATTGTGAAAATACCATACAGAGAGATTACAATTACATGAGCAAGGTAATAAGTACATTGTTGCCCCCTCCTTTTTCCCCTACCATCCCTGCCCTCCCATCTCCACGACTACGCTCCCTCCACCCCGCATTTCCTGATATGGAGGACATTCCTATTTTGATATGGGGTTAGAGTGCAGTGATAGAATACACGTTCAGTATGCATGAGCCCTGGTTCAATCCTTACTACTACACAATAAAAAATAAAAACTTCTCTTGATAGCTGGGGTCGGGAGGGAAAAACGGAGACAGCAAGAGAAGGGGTAACACTGTCCAACAATAAATGTATTCATTATCTGACTTGCATAACTAACTCCTCTGTACATCATCTTTTTAATAACAATTAAAAAAATGATCAATAGAGCTGGGTGCTGGTATCTAGGTACTTAGGAAGCTGAGATCTGAGAATCATGGTTTGAAGCCAACCTGGATAGAAAAGTCTGTGAGACTCAGCCACCTTCCCAGCCCTGAAGATCTTTTTTTAAAGAAGTACATAATGCGGCTGAGAAGGTGGCTCAGTGGTAGAGCGCTTGCCTTGCATGCATGAGGCCATGGGTTTGATTCCTCAGCACCACATAAGCAAAAAGAAAAAAGCCGGAAGTGGTGCTGTGGCTCAAGTGGTGGAGTGCTAGCCTTGAGCTGAAGAGCTGAGGGACAGCGCCCAGGCCCAGAGTTCAGACGCAACGACCAGACCTCAAAAAAAAAAGAAGTACATAAACATTGAAGCTACATCCAGAAAGTGACACAAACTAATAGCACCAAAAGCCATTTGGTTTGCTTCCTTGGGTTTTGTTTATAGATGTGCAGAAGACAATTCCATTTAGAGGGGGTAATTTAAGGGCCGCATCTGCTCTGTGTTAACGTTGAGATAAACCATTCATTGTAATTTTCCACTTTGCTTTAACTCTGCAACAGCAGTTTTCAGGTAAGCAGGCAGTGTGCTGACCATCTGATACTTTTTAATCCTATTTAACCCTTAGAAAAACCTCAGGTTACAGGCACAAGACTATCCACTTTTTGCCACGTGCCAGTGGCTCACGCCTATAATCCTAGCTTCTCAGAGGCTGAGATCTGAGGAGTCAGGTAGAAAAATATGTGAGACAGTGCGCTTTAAAAGATAGCAAATACAGATGTTAAAACAAACAAAAAAAATCTGTGAGACTCATCTCTAGTTAGCCACCAAAAAAAGGCAGAAGTAGGTAGGATCTGTGGCTCACGTGATAGGGCACCAATCTTGAACAAAAAAAAACTCGGAGAATTTCCAGGCCTTGAGTTCAAGCCCCAGAATGGGCACAAAAATAAAAATCTTTACAGATGGCAGTTTATCTGGGATGAGCATATCCCTGTTGCAGGGGAGTTAAATGGTGAAATTTGTTCCCTTCAGGTGTTAAGACATTTCTTGTCAGAAATTTCTACCAAGCAGACACTCATGGGATATTAAGTAATGTTTCCCTTGGAGCAATTTGTATGTTGTTGTGTTTCCTCCTCCCCTACAAGAAAGACAGATCTAAGAAAGCTATGTAGCACATCTGGGAGAGATTTTCCTCTTGGGAGGGTGTGGGATGTTTGGAGAGGAGGTGGTGCAGAGCACTGACATTTATAAATCGCTCTTCTAATGTTTTTCCTCAACCCTCAAGAGATCCACTTCCTTCTGCATCTATGACCGGGCTTACCAAGAGTTCGTGGCCAATAAAAGATCATCCCTCCCAGCTCCAAAATTCTCATTTTTGTTGTTTGTTTTGTGCTGGTCCTGGGGGCTTGGCCTGGGTGCTGTTCCTATGCTTTTGTGCTCAGGGTGAGCACTCTACCACTTGAGCCACAGCTCCATTTCGTGCTTTTTGGTTGTTAATTGGAGAGGAGAGTCTTATGGACTTTTGTGCCCAGGCTGGCTTTGAACGGTGGTCTTCAGATCTCAGCCTCCTGAGTAGCTAGGATTACAGGCGTGAGCCACCAGTGCCCAGCTCCAAGTTGTCATTTTAGAAGATGGTTCTACAAAGAAGAAAAAACTTTAGCCACGCGCAGAAATCTCTTGTGTATTCCAAGTGTGTTATATATGCCCTTGTTGGTATAACATCAATGTCAGGTGCAGGTGGCTCCCACCTGTAATCCTAGCTACTCAGGAGGCTGAGACCTGAGAATGACATGAAGCCAGCACAGACAGGAAGGTCATGAGACTCTTACCTCCACTTAACCACCAAAAAGCCAGAAGCGGAGCCAGTAGTAGAACAGCAGCCTTGGTCAGAAGAGCTAAGGGACGACACCCAGCCGGTTCCTTGAGGCTCTTTGGCGCTTAACTGAAGCTAAGCGTCTTAGGCTTGTTTTGCACGGGCTGGCTTTGAACCGCCAGCCTCAGATCAGCCTCTGGGTAGCTGGGATGGCAGGCGTGAGCCACCGGCGCCCGGCTGAAGCTCTTTATAAGCGTGACCCTGGGGGACGGGCTGGCGGGACGTGCCTGCGCACGCGTGGGCCCAGCCTCCGCTCGCGTTGCTCTGGCCACGAATTCCACAGGGAAGCCACGCCTCCCGCCTGCGCGCCTAGTCAGACGAGGGCGTCCCATCGAGATCGCTGTTGGCACAGGTGGAAGTACCAAGGTCAGAACACTACTTAAAAAAGCGGGGGAGGCGTGCCAGCCAGCAGACCCCGGCGGCCGCGGGCGAGGGGGCGTGGCGCCTCCCGCCCGGCGCGCATGCGCGAGCGGCCAACCGACAGGTCTGTCCTCGGCGCCTGATGAAAATGTTTAATATCAGCTGTCGAAATTCTCCCGCCCCTCAGTGGTATCTGTCTTTATTACTAAGAAATTCTACGTATCTCATGCTGGTGCGAAGTTCTCTCAGCCCGGCCCGCTCCTCACGTCAAGTCCCCCACGGAGACGCCTTTTTCCCCGAGGTAGGCGCTCAGGCAAGCTGGCGGCGCGCAGACGCAATTTCCGCTCAGCGCAGGCACTGCGGTAGTCACCCGCGCCCTCGGGGGCGGTGCCACGTGTGGACCCGATGGGCCCCGGCGCCGCCGCCATTGCGGGGTCTTCCCTGAGGCTCCGCTACCGGCCTTCCGCGCTGCCGTCGCCGCCGAGGCCCGCGCCCGCCGCGCACCATGAGCGTGATCGACCACGTGCGGGACATGGCGGCCGCGGGGCTGCACTCCAACGTGCGGCTCCTCAGCAGCTTGCTGCTCACAATGAGTAACAACAACCCGTGAGTGGAGGCGGGAGCGGGGTGGGGCGGCGGGAGGCCGAGGCCTGGGCCCGGAGGCGGGGCGGGGCCGCGGCCGCGGGGCGAGGACGTGGCGGGCCGCGCGCCCTGCCCGCGGGGCGGGGGCCGGGGCCGGGGCCGGGGTCGGGGCGGGGGCCGGGGCCGGGGCCGGGGTCGGGGTCGGGGCCGGGGCCGGGGTCGGGGTCGGGGCCGGGGCCGGGGCCGGGGCGGGGGCCGGGGCGGGGGCCGGGGCGGGGGCCGGGGCCGGGGCCGGGGCGGGGGCCGGGGCGGGGGCCGGGGTCGGGGTCGGGGCCGGGGCCGGGGCCGGGGTCGGGGTCGGGGCCGGGGTCGGGGTCGGGGCCGGGGCCGGGGCGGGGGCCGGGGCGGGGGCCGGGGCGGGGGCCGGGGCGGCGGCCGGGGCGGGGGCCGGGGCGGCGGCCGGGGCGGGGGCCGGGGCGGGGGCCGGGGTCGGGGTCGGGGCGGGGGCCGGGGCCGGGGCCGGGGCCGGGGCCGGGGCGGGGGCCGGGGCGGGGGCCGGGGTCGGGGTCGGGGCGGGGGCCGGGGCGGGGGCCGGGGCCGGGGCGGGGGCCGGGGCGGGGGGCCGGGGTCGGGGCGGGGGCCGGGGCGGGGGTCGGGGCGGGGGCCGGGGCCGGGGGCGGGGGCCGGGGCGGGGGCCGGGGCCGGGGGCGGGGTCGGGGCGGGGGCCGGGGCCGGGGCGGGGGCCGGGCAGGGGCCGGGGCCGGGGGCGGGGGCCGGGGGCGGGGGGCGGGGTCGGGGCCGGGGCCGGGGTCGGGGCGGGGGCCGGGGCCGGGGTCGGGGGGCGGGGGCCTGGCCGGGGCCGGGGCCGGGGCGGGGCAGGGGGCGGGGGCGGGGGCCGGGTCGGGGGCCGCGGCCGGGGCGGGGCCGCGGGGCGAGGCCGCGGGGCGAGGACGTGGCGGGCCGCGCGCCCTGCCCGCGGGGCGGGGGCCGGGGCGGGGGCGGGGACGGGGCCGGGGACGGGGGCTCAGGCCCAGGCCCAGGCCCACGCCCACCCTCCCGCCCCCCGCCGCGGAGGCTGCATCTCCGGTGTCCACGTTCTGTGGCTGGTCGCCCGCACTGAGCTCCAGCTGCGATCCTCAGATTGCGGCCTCCCGCTTGGCTAGGATTGGGGCGTGAGCCGCAGGGGCTCGTCCGCCACCCTCCGTCTTTGTACTTGCTGCTTCGAATCCTCCCTTGAGCGCAGCCTTCCGGTTCAGGCTTCAGCTGAGCTCTTCTCTCAGCCCGTTGACCAGGAAGACTCTAAAAGGATTACCACTGCCTTGCTTTCCTACAGCAGAGTGTGTGTGTGTGTGTACATTGGTGCCTGTACTGAGGCTTAGAACTCAGTCCTCGAACTGTCGATAGCCTCTCTCTCTCTCCCTCCTTCCCTCTCACTCTCTCCCCCTCTCTCCCCCCTCCCCACTGCCTCTTCCTCCTTCTCTCTCTCCTTCTCTCCCTTCCTCTCCCTCCTACTCCCTCTCACTCCCTCTCTCTCCTTTGCCAGTCGTGGGGCCTGAACTCTGGGCCTGGGCACTGTCCTTCAGCTCTTCAGCTCAAGGATAGGCACTACCACTTGAGCTATAGCACCACTTCTGGCTTTTTCTGCTTATGTGGTCCTGAGGACTCAAACTCAGGGTCTCATGCATGCAAGGCAGGCACTCTACAACTGAACCACCTTCCCAGTCCTCCATAGTTTCTTGACTGGTGCTCTACTCCTTGAACCAGAATCTTACCGGTTGGATTCTTATTGGTTAAGGATTCTCAGATCTCAGCCTCCTGAGTAGCTAGAATTACAGGTGTGAGCCACCAACTGGAGACAGGTCTGTGTGACCAGTACTCATGTCCTAAGGACATTCTTACAGCCTAAGGGAGATGAGGTACTGTCACGAGTTTGTACATGTGGAAGTGGAGACCCTGTGTCCTTAGGACCCTTGGTCCTCTGACTTGGAAGAGACTCCATTCCATCCCACCACAGCTGGCTGGCATTGCTGTGAATCTCTGCCCCCAACTAGTGTTGGCAGCTCTGGAGCAGCTTAGGTCAGGAGAGGTTGGTGACTTGACAGCAGTGCAGCTATTACTCCCCATTTCATTCCCACTCGTGTGCGTTGGACCTCACTTTAGTAAAGGAGAGATGCTGTGCACCCCGGGTGCAGTGTGAGGAGCCTGGTCGCTGTTGGCAGGCACTGTTTATTTGCGAGCTCTCTCCTGCTACCAAGTCAAAGCGTGTTTTCCGTTATTGGGGAGGGACGTGCTAGTCATCATTCTTGCCGTTTCAAGATGTTACAGCATGGTTTGAAGCCGATTGATGACTGCCTAGACTAACTGTAGCTGGCCCAGGCTGCTCCGTGTGAGTTTAGTTGGCAGCTTCTTAGCCTCAGGAGGTGTTGAGCCACTGGCTCTGCTGTGTTTGTGTTGGGGTGCTGGGTCTCAAACCCAGGACTGCAGACATATAGGCACTGGTCCACGGAGCCAAACCCCCAGCAGTTAGTTCCCTTTTTGAAACTTTATATCCAGCATTTATTCAGCCTGCCTTTCTCTCTTTTTTTCTTTTTAAATCTCCTTCCCCTTCCCTCTCTTCTAGTCTTTTTTTCCTGTTGTGCTGGGAATCAAATGAATGCACAAAGATGCATTCTAGCATATACTTCGCCACTGGCCTTTTTACTTATGTGGGGAGGAAGTAAAGTTTCCTTCCTAGGCCTTCAACCTTTCTTTGGGTTAAGTCTGGGCTTGCTCTCCTTTGTCAGTATTATACCCTTAAAACTTGAAGTCAGGTGCTGGTGGCTGATGCCTATAGGTAACTCAGGAGGTTGAAATCTAAGGATTATAGTTTGAAGCCACCCGGGGCAGGAAAGTCCATGAGTCTCTGGTCTCCAATTAACTACCAGAAAGCCAGAAGTGGAGCTGTGGCTCAAGTGGTGGAACATTAGCCTTGAGTGAAAAACTCAGAGACAGCGCCCAGGCCGAGTTCAATCTAGCACTAGGACCAGGACCAAAAAAACCCCAAACAGAAAAAAAACTCAAACTTGATACTGACATTAAAGAGTGTAAATGGGTGGATAACAGACTTGGATTAAAAAGTAGGAGAAAGGGTATGTTAGGTTTTCTCTATATTATCAGATTTGATTTATAGGTATCATCATTGCTAATGAATTAAAAAAGTTCCCCTGTTGCCACTGTATTTGATTGTGGTACCCTGGTATCGCATATACGTTTATCTGATTGGGGAAGGGAAGTGGAACAGCAGAATGGTGAGACAAAGGACAAGGGGGAACCAATGCAACAGATAGTCACAGACAATATGTTGGAAATGGGGGGGGAAGTAGGAGAAAAATGAGGGAAGGGGTAACAAGGTTGACAAGAAATGTACTTATGGGCTGGGAATGTGGCTTGGTGGTAGATTGCTTACCTAGCATGCATGAAACCATGGGTGTGATTGCTTAGTACCACATAAACAGAAAAAGCCAGAAGTGGCACTAGGGCTCTAGTGATAGAGTGCTAGCCTTGAGCAAAAAAAGAAGCTCAGGGACAGTGCCCAGGCCCTGAGTTCAAGCTCCAGGACTGGCACAAAAACAAAACAAAGAAATGTACTTATTACTTTGCTTATGTAACTGTAACCCCTCTGTATATCACCTTGGTAATAAAAAAGGGAAAAAATAAAACATTTGATTGTGTAGATGTGTTGACCTCATATTTGCATGGAGTGGTAGTTAAGTCATGCTGACTTTCTTTGTGTGCCAGGCTTCTGTGAACACTAAGATGTGAGTACACTTTCTTTGTTTCTAGAGAGTTACTCTCTCCATCTCAGAAGTTCCAGCTCTTGGTATACCATGCAGATTCTCTCTTTCATGACAAAGAATATCGGAATGCTGTGAGCAAGTATACCATGGCTTTGCAGCAGAAGAAAGCGCTAAGTAAAACTTCAAAAGTGAGGCCTTCAACCGGAAATTCAGCATCTACGCCACAAAGCCAGGTAATCAAAAATAGAATTAGGACTTTTTTTTTTTGCTGGTCATGGGGCCTGAACTCTGGGCCTTGGTGCTGTCCCTCAGCTTTTCAGCTCAAGGCTAGCGCTCTACCACTTGAGCCACAGCGCCACTTCTAGCTTTTTCTGCTTATGTGGTACTGCGGAATGGAATACAGGGCCTCATGCATGCAAGCACTCTACCACTGAGCCACCTTCCTAGCCCCTATGACTTCTTTTAATAGAGAGAGACTAAAGTAATTTTGTGTTCAGTGCTGGTTGGTCTTTTTTTTTTTTTTTCTTTTGGTCCGTCGTGGGGCTGTGCTTGCTAGGCAGATGCTCTGCCATTAGCCATGCTCCCATCAGATTTTTGTTGGTTATTTTGGAGATGGAGTCTCTCATACTTTGCTGTGTGAGCTTGAACCACCATCTTCCTGATGTCAGTCTCCTGGGTGAGTAGAATTAACCATCTAATCCTGCCGATGCTTATGCTCAGGCTGGCTTTGAACTGCAGCCCCTCAATCTCTGCCTCCCCCCAGGTAACTGGGGTTATAGTCTTGAGCTACTGCACTTGGCTTTGAGATCATATTTAGTAATAACATTTGTTTTCATATCTCTTAGTGTCTTCCATCTGAGATTGAAGTAAAATACAAAATGGCTGAATGTTATACAATGCTGAAACAAGATAAAGATGCCATTGCCATACTTGACGGGATCCCTTCCCGACAGAGAACCCCCAAAGTAAGTTGTTTGTTACATGTTTTCTTCCTCCTCCGCCCACTCAGGCCTGCTTGTGTTTGGGAGACACATTAGGAAGTCTGAGCATTGTGTCGCACATCCTCACGTTGTTCCCTACTGATGGAGAGGTGGTTGGCCAGTGCTGTAAGAGCTGCCTTCGCTGTTGCTTGCTGTAGGGAATAATGGTCTACAAAACACTCATTTAATAATGGGATAATTGTTATACATAATCAGGACTACACGGTCACTTTGGACTTGCTCTTGTATAGAGAAGGGCTGTGCTGGTGCTGGCGGCACATTACATACAGTACAGGGTGTGCATCTTACCGGAACCAGATGTGGGGTCTTCAGTTTGTGCCTACAACATCTCTAAAAATGAGGATATTGGTAAATTCTTTTTTGTGAAACTAAAGTTCATGTATGTAAAAATACCTCTTGTGGGCTGGGAAGGTGGCTCAGTGGTAGAGTGCTTGCCTCGCATGCATGAGGCCCTGGGTTCCATTCCTCAGCACCACATACGCAGAAAAAAGCCAGAAAGTGGTGTTGTGGCTCAGGTGGTAGAGCACTAGCCTTGAGCTGAAGAGCTGAGGGACAGCGCCCAGGCCCAGAGTTCCGCCACAGCTGACACAACTGAGAAAAAACAACTGACAAAAAGACAAAACAAAAAAAACCTCTTGTTTCCTTCTGTGCTGGAGATAGAATCCATTGCATTCTAGGCAAGCATTTTTTTTTGTGTGTGGGGGGGGCAGGATTGGTCCTGGGGCTTGAACTCTGGATCTGGATGCTGTCCCTGAGCTCTTCAACAAGACAAGCACTCTACCACTTGAGCCACAGCGCCATTTCCAGTTTTCTGGTTGTTTATTGGAAATAAGAGTCTCATGGACTTAACTGCCCAGGCTGGCTTTGAACTGTGACCCTCTTTAGTCTCCTGAGAAGCTAGGATTACAGTTGTGAGCCACTGGCACCTAGCTAGGCAAGCATTCTGCCACTGAACTACACTCTAAAAATGAAAGTACTTTAAAAAATACTAGTTGATGGGCTGGGAAGGTGGCTCAGCGGTAGAGTGCTTGCCTTGCATGCTCGAGGCCCTGGGTTTGATTCCTCAGCACCACATAAGCAAAAAGAAAAAAGCCGGAAGTGGCACTGTGGCTCAAGTGGTAGAGCGCTAGCATTGAGCTGAAGAGCTGAGGGACAGCGCCCAGGCCCAGAGTTCAGGCCCCACGACCGGACCCAAAAAAAAAAAAAATACTAGTAGGGAGAACAGTGAGAGGCCCGCGTCTGCGCGCAGCCGTGTTTAGTGTGTGCCACACTCTCATGGCACCTGCTCTCCTTGTTCTATTGAAGAAACGTTATCTACCTTGAGCTTGACAATGAGGTATTTTGTACACCCACGTGACCTTTAAGAATCTAAGCAGTGGGGACCTAGTTCATTTTAGTTAGGACTTGATCCAAGTGTTCCTAAACTAATGGGTAACTAGACTTAAGGGAATATGTTTAAGTAGGTACTGGTATTAAGGAGTTAGTTATTTTCTGTGTTGTTTAAGGGAGTTTTTGTTTGCTTTTTGCTAGGGATTGAACCCAGGTTCTTCACCATACTGGGTTTAAACTCTGCCACTGAACTCTAATTCCAGCCCTGTTTTCTGTGTTTGGAGACTTAAGATAGTTCCTACATGTAGCGGAGAATGTAATTTCTACATTATTTGGCACTTGTAGATTTTCTCACGTGAGCTTTTAGGAAGCATTACTTTAAGATAGCTTTATTTAGCTTCATATTTAGGTTGTGCTAAAACTCCTGTATCCATCTGCATTTATTGGATTTCAATAGTGTGGCTGTTCTTGGATCAGTGTCTCCTCTGAAGGTGAGTTTGAGTTGATTATAGCATTACTTTTGGCAGGTCAGAGTTTTGAGTGTTAAAAAGGCTGGATTCCAGCCATGGGTCTAGTTGTCTAATGAAGGCCGTCGTTTTACCCTTGGCCATAGCCATTCCCTTTGATGAGGGGAAATATGACCCTTCCTAACCAACTGTTTGCGAGTTCACCTTCTTATGCCTCAATATTAATTGAGTTTAACAGAAATCCACTTGAATACTTCCCAAGTAGATCATCTTAATTGGAACTCTAGAACGTTCTCCACATGAATAGCATCTTGGTCCCAACACTGCTGAACATTCAGTTAGAGGAGAGAGGATAACGTGCTTTCCCTCTCGGGGATGGGAGGACTGGAACAACAAAGATAGCAGTAATTCCTTGGTTTGAAGAATGGATACATTTCCCAGCAATAAAAACCAGCATTTTCCCGGTGAGCTGTTTTCTTTGTAGGTATGTGTGTTTTCCTGTTTTGTTTGTGCTCATGCAGATAAATATGATGCTGGCAAACTTGTACAAGAAGGCTGGCCAGGAGCGCCCTTCGGTCACCAGCTACAAGGAGGTCCTGCGCCAGTGCCCGCTGGCCTTGGATGCCATTCTAGGTAAAGGCCATGTTGTTTGGTTCCACTGTTTTTTGTGCTTAATTGGTTGTGAAGCTGGAACTTGGGGCCTGGGTGCTGTCCCTGAGCTCAAGGCTAGCACTCTACCACTTTGAGCCATGGTTCCACTTCTGATTTTCTGGGGGTTAATTGGGGATGAGTCTCACGGCCTTTCCTGCCAGGGCTGGGTTTGAACTGTGACCCTCAGATCTCAGCCTCCTGAACAGCTAGGATGACAGATGTGAGCTACTGGTGCCCAGCTTCCACTGTGTATTGTTGAAGGCGCCACTTCTCAGTCATGGCTTAGAATACAGTTTTGTTCTGGTCCTGGGGCTTGAACCCAGGGCCTCAGTCCTGTCCCTCAGTTTTTTTTGCTCAAGGCTAGCACTCTGCCACTTGGGGCACGCTTGGGGCTTTTTAAGTTTCTTGCTGGGCTGGAGATAGGGCTCTAGTGTTCAAACACCACCTGCCTAGCAAGTGTGAAGCCCTGAGTTCAAACTTGAGTAGTGCTTTAGAAAAGGTCCCTGCATTCACACATTCGCTCAAGAAAATCTTGTACTGTGGTCTTGCAGGGTTGGGGTGTAGCTCAGTGGTAGTGCATGCTTAGCGTACTCAAGGCCCTGGTTTCAGTCCCTAGCACCAAAAATGACGCGTGGCTTTCCCTCCTCTGCTGCTCAGCATGAGGATGGGGTCGCTGGGAGCCTGCGCTGTGGGCCAGTGCTCTACCTCACCGCCGCTGTCTGCTTTTTGTTGGGCTCTAGGTCTGCTGTCCTTGTCTGTCAAAGGGGCAGAGGTGGCGTCCATGACCATGAATGTGATCCAGACGGTGCCTAACCTGGACTGGCTGTCTGTGTGGATCAAAGCCTATGCCTTTGTGCACACTGGCGACAACTCAAGAGCGATCAATACCATCTGGTGAGCGCCCCGGCCGGAGCCCAGTGAGCCTAGGCCCTTCTTGTCCAGGCGTGCGTGCGTGCATGCATGTGTGTACACGTACGTGTGTACGTACGAACGAACGTATACATGTGTGTGCAAGCATGCATGTGTATTAGGCGGCATGGGTATTGGTGAGGAGAGTGGGAGGGCCTGGTGTTGCAGCCAGGTTGTCTTTGGGCTTTGATTGTCTTAATGTAACAATCACAAATGTAATGTCTCTCTTGGAAAGCTGTGTGGATGTAAGGCTGCACTAAGTTCAGCTCTGTGCAGTCAGCTGCAAAAAGCAGACTGCCATGATGGGTCCTGCACGCCGGGAAGCAGAGCTTCGTGGTCTCCCCAGAAGCCATGCTGCTTACAGCGCCTGGCCTAGGTTGTATTCTTGAGACAGTGTGCCGGTGAGAGAATGAGTTTGGTCTGGTGTGATGCGGTCCTCCAGTTGAATAGGAAGTGGCTACAAATGGCATTACATTTTTTTTTTTTATATGGAACCTTCACGAATCTGGAACCTTCGCCCTTGCGCAGGCAGGGGCCTTGCTGATCTTCTCTGTGGCATTGCAATTTTAGTGGATGTGCTGCAGAAACGAGCACTTGGGCTGCATTGAACACCATGGCTGTTGTCCTCTGAGAAACTACCAGAAAGCTCTTTTCTGGCTAGTGAGCCACATCTACTTCATTGTGTGTTTTCTTTCCTGTCCTGTCCGACTTAAAACCATAAGCAAATCGAATATATACAGTTTGTTTAAATTTATCATTGAAAAAGTCATGCAGAAAACAGTATGGGTATGCCCCAGATTTAGAACAGTTTTGAAGGTTTGCAATATGTCTTTCTAGTTCACTGGAGAAAAAGTCTTTATTGCGGGATAACGTGGACCTGCTGGGAAGCTTAGCGGACCTGTACTTCAGAGCTGGAGACAGCAAAAACTCTGTCCTGAAGTTCGAGCAGGCTCAGATGTTAGATCCTTATCTGATAAAAGGTGAGTCGCCCTGGAAGCAGGGTGAGCATGGCTCTAGAGGGTAGATCAATGGAGGTCACTAGAAAAAGTGTCAGTTTGTGTGTGTGTGAGTATGCTGGAGCTTGGAATTGCACACTTGACCTGTCACTCAGCTTTCTTTACTCGTAGCTGGTGCTGGACCACTTTTGGCCACGCCTCCAGGTTGATATTTTGCTGGTGGAAATCAGAATCTCCTGGATTGTCTGCCTGGGTTAATTTCAAGCCACGATCCTTAGATTTTACCCTTTTGATCAGCTAGGATTACAGGTGTGAGTCACCAGTGCCTGGCTCTGATAGCGTTTGTCAAGAAAGATTTTTCTAAGATTTATCACAATAGTCTTCTGATGCATGTCTCTAACACTTCTGAGTAGTATTTTTTTCTCGAATTCAAGTTTCATCTCACAGGCCATTATTTGGATTTTTTTCTTTTTTGGAGGGGGCGGGGTATCGTAGCTTGGGAATTCCGAGTTTGCCATGTGCCTGCCGGAGGATGTGGATGGCACCTTAGACCCTGGGTGTCCTTTTGGGGCATGTGGTTTGCCTGTCTCCCTAGTGTGATAAAAGGATGCAAAGGGAGTAAGGGAACAGGTGTTGAAGAAAGTGAAATGAAGCAGAAATTAGGAGCAGATTGGAAAGAGGTTTCACCTTGGATGGGAAGGCCTGGGCACCAGCGCTCTGTGGCCGTGGCCCTGCGTGCCCGTGCGCGTGCTCGCAGCTGTGGGAAGGAAGACCCAAAAAGCAGGCCGCACATACGAGTCAGATGTAGGGCGCTGGAGGGGGCTGGGAAGGTGGCTCAGTGGTAGAGCGCTTGCCTTGCATGCATGAGGCCCTGGGTTCGATTCCTCAGCACCACATAAGCAAAAAGAAAAAAGCCGGAAGTGGCGCTGTGGCTCAAGTGGTAGAGCGCTCGGCTTGAGCTGAAGAGCTGAGGGACAGCGCCCAGGCCCAGAGTTCAGGCCCCACGACCGGACCCAAAAAAAAAAAACAGAAACTTAAAAAAAAAAAAAAGATGTCGGGCGCTGGAAGTGCTGGTCTGGTGGCAGCTGTCGGCTTGGAGCCGGCGCCTGCACCCACCAAGGGATGTCCTTTTTGATGCTTCATGCTTCTGAGAAGTGTTGCTATGTAGTTTAGGCTGGCCTCAAACTCAAGACCTCCTGCCTCCACCTTCGCCTGCAGAGATCCCAGGGGTGCCCCAGCACCAGCGCCCTGGCTTTCCGTGGTCGCTTTGTGGGAGAGTGGGAGGTCTGCTGGCGAGAGGGCTGGCCACGGGCCCTGGAGCCTTGGAGTGGGACATGTCCCCTCCTCGCCTTTACTGAGGTCCCAGGACTTGATGCCCTGGTTAAAGTGCATCTTGTCCCCTGTCCTTTCAGGGATGGATGTGTATGGCTACCTGCTGGCGCGAGAAGGGCGGCTGGAAGATGTGGAGAATCTCGGCTGCCGCCTTTTCAATATCTCTGACCAGCACGCAGAGCCCTGGGTGGTGTCTGGGTACGGCTGTGTCCCTTGCCGTCTGTCTTCGCGTGCTCTCTGTCAGCTGGAGGTGGGACTCTCGGGTCAGAGAGTAGTCACACCTGCCGTGGGGGTGGCGTGTTCCCTGCTCTCTGTGCTTCCTTAGAGGAGGGCCCGTGGGAGGGGGAAGGCGTGACACGCGCACTGGCCTTGTGCTCTGCACAAGGGGCCAGAGCTGCTGCCCGCTGACCACGGCGCTGGCTCGGCAGAGCATTTGCCTGTTTTGCAAGAAGTCCTTCCCTTGCCACCCCAGGCCTCAAAACAGCTGCAGCCCATGCTGGTGCTCACTTAGTTTTAGGTGTACAAATAGTTCTTCAGTGTCTCTCGGCTTGTAACTTACATCTAGATTGTCAGGTGCTTTTCCTTATTTTTTTCTTCTCCTGTGTCAAGATCCTCACCCCACCCTGTTTTGTTTTTTTTGGGGGTGGCCCGGTCGTGGGACCTGAACTCTGGGCCTGGGTGCTGTCCCTCAGCTCTTCAGCTCAAGGCTAGCGCTCTACCACTTGAGCCACAGCGCCACTTCTGGCTTTTTTTTTTTTTCCTGATAATGTGGTGCTGAGGAATCGAACCCAGGGCCTCAGGCATGCAAGCCAAGCGCTCTACCACTGAGCCACCTTCCCAGCCCCACCCTGTTTTTTTTTTTGGGGGGGGTGTCTGGCATGGGGCTTGAACTCTGGGCCTGGGCTCTGTCCCTGCACTCTTCAGCTCAAGGCGAGCGCTCTGCCACTTGAGCCACAGCGCCGCTTCTGGTTTTCTGGTGGTTTATTGGAGATAAGAGTCTCCCAGACTTTCCTGCTGGGCCTAGCTTTGAACCATGATCCTCAGATCTCAGCCTCCTGAGTAGCTAGGATTACAGACATGAGCCACCGGCACCGGCCACCCCCTTTTTAAATCATTTATCGTTAATAACCACGCAATAAGCACGGCTTGTAACAAAGCTTGCCAAAGCTTGCGTGGAGGGCCTTCTCTGTTCTGTGGATGTGTTTTCTTCATTTTGAGATAGGGTCTCAAAATGAGATCCTGAGTAGTCTAGACGGGCCTAGAACTTGCAGTGCCTGCATCCTTGGTGCTGGGATTGCAGACCTGCATTGCCACCTAGCTCCAGCGCCTTTACAGCCGCTCCCACATGACATGTGAGTTCTCTCAGGTCTCCCCTCAGGTGACATGTGATTTCCCGATGTTTTCTCAGGTGACACGTGGTTTCTCTATGATCTCCTTGCAGGTGACACGTGGTTTCTCTATGATCTCCTTGCAGGTGACACGTGGTGATCTGGTGGGTTCTGTTTTTTTCTCCCCCAGGTGCCACAGCTTCTATAGCAAACGCTACTCCCGGGCACTGTACTTGGGCGCCAAGGCCATTCAGCTGAACAGTAACAGTGTGCAGGCTCTGCTGCTGAAGGGAGCGGCGCTCCGGAACATGGGCAGAGTCCAGGAGGCAATCATCCACTTCCGGGAGGCCATACGGCTTGCACCCTGCCGCTTGGACTGCTATGAAGGTGAGGCGGGCAGTGTGTGTTTCCTTTTGGGGGGAGGTGGGGGCGGCCGCTGGGCCCGCACAGCTCTGCCGTGTGCCTCCGCAGCACGGATGGACACGGGCGCCACGCTGCCTGGCCCTGGCGTGGCTGGCCATCAGCATCCTCTCACCTTCTCAGGCTGAGATGGCAGGCATGCACACACCAGCAGCCTTGGTAGTTTTGAGGCTCTCAGGTGATGCTGTTGGTGAGGAAGATGGAGAACGCTGTGTGTGGCACTTTGCATCCATTCTAGCTTTCCCTGGTGTTTCCACCTCATACTTCTCAGAATCTATTTTTCTCATCTTTTTTTTCCCCCTGGGTTTTGATGAGGGGTCTCTGAGGCAGATTTCTTGGCCCCCTGTTTCCCCTCAGATGTAGCCCAGGACTGATGAGAACTTTGAGGGTCACTTAGTGATGCTTTTACTCCTCACTGTCGCCTCGCTTTGGGCAGAGCTGGGGTTCTCCGAGCGGCTCTGTAGCCACGAGTCAGGCCTGGCAGGCCGGGCTGTCCCCTCGAGCGCCAGCATGGCCGCTGCCCCGGCGCCGCTCTGCCGCCCACGTCATAGATCCACATGAACCAACCCAGGAAGCCCACAGGGAGCTGAGTGCCCCACGCCGTGCGACTCAGACGCCACAGTACGCCTCATGAGTGCCGTTCCTTTACAGTGTTTTCTAGAGGAATTGACAGGTAACCCCAGGAGGGGCTGGGAAGGTGGCTCAGTGGTAGAGCGCTTGCCTTGCATGCCTTAGGCCCTGGGTTCGATTCCTCAGCACCACATAAGCAGGAAAAAAAAAGCAGGAAGTGGCACTGTGGCTCAAGTGATAGAGCGCTAGCCTTGAGCTGAAGAGCTGAGGGACGGCGCCCAGGCCCAGAGTTCAGGCCCCACAACTGACAAAAGAGTGAAGTTGGGCACCGTTGGTCACACTTGTAGTCCTGACTACTCAGGAGGCCAAGAGCTGAGGATCTTGGTTCAAGGCCAGCCCAGGCAGAAACTATAAAACTGCTGGTATGTCTAATTAACCACCAGAAAGCCAGAAGCAGAGCTGTGGTTCAAGTGGTAGAGCTCAGGGACAGCATCCAGGCCCCAAGTTCAGGCCCTAGGTAGGTCTAGCACCTTCCCTACCTCCTCTGCTCCTCTCCCCTCCCCCCCCCAACAAAAAGCCTGGGATGGTAGGTACTGAGGGGAGGAGTGTGCTGGAGAAGCTGCCAGAAGCGCCTGAAGGTTAGGCCTCTGGTGTTTTTGTTTGATGCGTGCCAGAAAGTTCTCCTCTGGTCTGTCTTTTCGCCCACAGAGCGTATCGCTGCGCTCCTCCAGCCCAGGCCAGCGAGCAGCCGCTCAGCCGGCCACGGCCGCTTGGAGGTCCTCGGTTTCCTTGGAATCCCCTGGCTTCTGGGAGCCAGGGGCTGTGGCTAGCTGGCGCTGCTCTTGGGCATGGCCGGCTTCCTTGCCAGCCGCAGGTGCATTGACAGCGCGCTCGGGAGGCTGTGCCCCTCGCCGTGCGGGAGCGCCGGCTCCCGCCTGATCGCCATGGTGCTGCCTGGCCAGCCCTTCCTCCCCCGCTGAGCCGGATGTTCGCTGCCTGGGGAGAGCGGCCCGCGAGTGGGCTTCTTGGTGCTGTTTTTCAGGTCTCATCGAATGTTACCTCGCCTCTAACAGTATCCGAGAGGCCATGGTGATGGCTAACAATGTGTACAAAACTCTGGGTGCAAACGCGCAGACGCTAACGCTGCTCGCCAGCGTGTGTCTAGAGGACCCAGTGACGCAGGAGAAAGCCAAGACGCTGCTAGATAAAGCGCTGAGCCAGAGGCCCGACTATATCAAGGCCGTGGTGAAGAAGGCGGAGCTGCTGAGTGAGTGTCTCCATCCGCCCCAGGTCCCCCGAGTCCCATGTGGGCTCTGCGCTCCCCTCCGCTGTCTGCAGATGTGGCACGTCGTCCTAAAACGAGCCCACACGGTCTGCTCAGCTCACTTTCAATCCGTTTCTTTGTTGTCCTGAGCTAGTGTGGGCTGAACATAACTAATTGGCTTCAGTTTAAACTGTTTGGAGTTATGTCCCTTGTAGCTAGCCTTCCATTGGGTGTTGGCTTTTTTGGTTTTTATTTTTTTTGTCAGTCATGGGGCCTGAACTCTGGGCCTTGGCACTGTCCCTCAGCTCTTCAGCTCGAGGCTAGCGCTCTACCACTTGAGCCACAGCACCACTTCGGGTTTTCTGGTGGTTCATTGGAGATAAGTCTCACAGACATTCCTGCCCTGGCTGGCTTTGAACTGTGATCCTGATTGTAGGTGTGAGCCACCAGCACCCAGCTTTGCATTGTTCTTTCCATCCATCTTATGCATGTGTTTATAGGTGTCGCAGGCAATACGCACTGCTTTTGGGGCTTGAACTCAGGGCCTGGGTGCTGTCCCTTGCTTAGGTTTTCTGCTCAAGGCTGGCACTATACTTACTACTTGAGCAGCAGCTCTATTTAGGGCTTTTTGGTGGTTCATTGGAGATAGGACTTTTAATGGACTTTCCAACCCTGGGCTGGCTTCCAATTTCAATCCTCAGATTTTAGCCTCCTGTGAAGCTTGGATTATATATCTGTTAAGTTAGAAGGAAAATAAGCTTATATTAGGTGCCACTGGCTCAGGACTACAATACTAGCTAATCAGAAGCTTTCATCTGAGGATTGTGGTTCAAAGCCAGCCCAGTCATGAAAGTCCAGAGATCCTTATCTCCAACGAACCACTGAAGAGCTGAAGTTAGAGCGAGCTTCATGTGGTAAAGCACCAGTCTTGAGTGAAAAGGTACTGAGTTCAAGCCCCAGCACCAAGAAAACAAAAACAGAAAAGTTTAGTTTGGCTCTGGCCCGCGCCTTCCTTTGGCGATGGTGCAGTCGGTGAGCGGTCCTGGTGTGCGGTCGTGGTGGGGAGTCCCCGCAGGTGCTCCGGGTGTGGCGGCCCCGCGCATCAGGCCCGCGGCCTGGGTTTTCAGGTGGATTCTGGTGGAGATGGGAGGAGAGGGGAGGCCTGGCGCGGCTGGACGGGAGCCCGGCTTCTCCCCAGGCCGGGAGCAGAAGTACGAGGACGGCATCGGCCTGCTGAGGAGCGCGCTGGCCAACCAGAGCGACTGCGTGCTGCACCGCCTGCTCGGCGACTTCCTGGTGGCCGTCAACGAGTACCAGGAGGCCATGGACCAGTACAGCATCGCGCTCAGGTGGGCCTCTGGAAGGAGGACCAAGGCATGGCGGCTCAGCGCGTCCGGGCCGAGCGGACGCCACGGCCGCGGAGGAGCCGGCGGGTGCGCGGCACTGCCGTGTGCGCGTCCGACCCCGCGGCCGGGGCTCCGCGTGCGTTGCCTCTGCGGGTGAGCTGCGCTGCGTGAGCCCCGGCGCCCGCACCCACCCCGCGCCTGCGCCCTGGGAGCGGCCATGCCGCACCCGCCCCGCATTTTTTAGAAAGGATTCCCATCGTGTCCGCCGGGGAAGGGGAACAAGCTCGGGGAAGAGCCCGAGAGCGCGCTGGACGCGGCGGGCGGCGCGGCCCCGACACCGGGGAGCCGGCCGGCGGGACTCCCCGGCTCGAGAGCCGCCCGCGCGGGGCCGGGGCTCAGGCCGCTCGTGTTGTCTCGTAGTTTGGACCCCAACGACCAGAAGTCTCTGGAGGGGATGCAGAAGATGGAGAAGGAGGAGAGCCCCACGGACGCCACGCAGGAGGAGGACGTGGACGACATGGAAGGGAGCGGGGAGGACGGGGAGCTGGAGGGCAGCGACAGCGAGGCGGCGCAGTGGGCCGACCAGGAGCAGTGGTTCGGCATGCAGTGAGGCCCGGCTGCGCCGCCCGCGCAAAGCCAGGGGCCGCGGGCGGACGGACGGACGGACCACGCCCGGAGAAGCCGACGAGGTGCGAGCACGCACGAGGTGCAAGCACGCGGGGCACCGGGCGGCTGGCCAGGAAAAGGCGTGCGCGCCTGGCCCGCGCAGGGCCCTGCGTCCGGTGGTGACGGCCGGCCGCGGCTTCGGCCCGAGGTCGCTGCGGGTCCGTGTCCCCGGCCTCATGCCGTAAAGGGGCCGGGCTCGTGGGCGGCGCCTGTAACCCCAGCCACTCAGGAAGGCGGATCAACGGCAATAAAGGAGGCCGTGTCCAGCTGCCCCGCCGCTGCCCACGTGAGGCCGTGCGGGCGGACCGGGAGGGCGCTGGGGGCGGCCGCGGCCGCGGAGCCGGTGAAAAGCCGGCCGGAGGCGTGGCTCAGGCGGAGTGCTGCCGGCTGAGAGCTGAGCCAGCTTTGCCGCCTGAGGCCAGGCCCGGCTGCCGCCAGCGGCCAGCCCAGGCGGGAACGTCCGCGAGACTCAGTCCAGGGGAAGACCAGGCTTGAGCGAGGAAGCTCGGGCATCGCGGACCTGCGAGGGACGGACGGGAAGACAGCCCCAGCCCAGCGCGCAAGAGCGGACGCGCCCAGCTGCGAGTTCGAGACCCAGGACCGGCAACTACAGTGCGGCCTCCCCAAGCCCCCTGGCCGTCGCCCGTGGCCTTTCCTGCGTGTCCATGGTTTTATCCATGACACGGGATCTGCCGTGCGCGGGCCCCGGCTCCGGGGCGTGGCAGCCCCGCCCTCCCCGGTCGCCCGTGGGGCCTCGGCGCCCATCGACCGGCTGCAGCCGGGGACGGCCGGCGCCGGGAGTCAGGAAGGCACGTGCGGGACGATGGAGGCTCGCATTTTATTAGGATAAACGCATCACAAGGCATCGCACCCACGTGTCTACTTCTGCTTCCATTAAATAAGTGGCGCTGAGTGCGGTGAGGAGGCTGCGGGAGCTGGAGGCTGCGGGGGCGCTGCGTCTGCTGCTCACGGCGGGAACAAGCGGGCTGTACAGGGCGAAGGCCGTGCGCGACGGGTTGGGGCGGGGCGGCGGCGCGGCATGCAGCCGGCGGGCGCCAGGCATTGGCGGGGCCGCGGCGGGCTCGGCTTCGGGACCTTCCTCTCCTTGCAGCAGAGAACCGAACTCGTCCGCAGGGGCGCCGACTCACGAAGCCACAGTGCGCATGTGCATCGCTACGGGCCGCCGCCCGCACCACGGCTGGGAGCGTCTAGTTTCCCCAACGTCAGTCAGGCCGGCGTGGCGCTCAGCGCGCATGCGCACCCGAGCCCCCCGACATTTCCGCAAACGCTCAAGCAGCGGTTACTCCAGTATGGCTGCGAAGGAGAGAGAGGGGAGGTCAGCTCGGGAGCAGAGCAGGGAGGCCGAGCCCAGCCGTCACGACTGTCCCGGGGTGCTGGGTGCCCCTCTGTATCCGGCCTAGCAGTGTAGAGGTGCGGCAGGAGGAGCGGTGCGAGCAGCGTGATGCCAGCGCGGGACCCGGATCGCCTTCCCCCTCCGTCCCCGCTTCTCCCCGCCCAGGCCCGGCTCCTGCAGGCCCGAGCCCTGCCGCCTCCAGGGCTGGCTCGGCGGCCCAAGGGTCCCCCCCCCCCCCCCGTGCCGGGCGCATGCGCGCCCCGGGGACGCAGCAGCCCCGCACTCTCCTCCACCCCCGCACCTCCTGCCAGCTGGGAAACCAACTGGCTCCTGGCCCCCGGCCCAGCACCTGGGCAGGGCGGGCGGCCCCGGCCGGTCGCCGACACCTGACAGCTGAGCGGCCGGCCAGAGGAAGCCAAGCCCGCCTGTGACCTGACTAGCTTCCAACTTAGGGCCTGGGCCTGTGTCCCCCAACGTTCGCTCATGGGAGCTCGGGGCCTGGGCCTGTCCAGTCTCCTGAGTAGCTAGGACTACAGGCGCGAGCCGCCGACCCCGGCTCAGCTTCAGCATGCCACTAGGATCTTTTGGGCTGGGGGGCCGAGGGCCCTGGGGGCCGCCTGGGGGAGGGTCACTTCACCCCGGGGAAATACTCACGTGGTCGGCGATGTTGGGAGGCATTGGAGGAAAACACCACAGTTAGGATGTTAGCGGCTCACACGGCTGTGAGACTGAGCTCGAACATGCGCAAACGTTTATCAGGGTCACGGTGGTCGTTAGTGCCACATTCAAATAAAAATAGCTCTATACAGTATGTTCATTTGTCATGTGCTATTTACAGATTTTACAAAACGCACACGCACGCGCACACACACACACACACTTGCCCCTATGATCCTTAGATCAGGCTACATATATAGGCCAGCAGAAGCTTCCAGGAAACGCACGATCACACAGATGAAATTTGTCTCTAAATAACCCCCCACGACTGCAGCAGGACGGGAACAAGGCTCTGCGCCGAGCACCTCGAAAGGCTGGCCGGCCTCAGAGCTAGTCCAAGGAAGCCCCTCAAGAACAAGACAGTTACTTTTTTTTTTCTGTCCATTTAAAACGTTTTATTTTTCTTTTTTAACTAGATTGTGAAGTGCCATGGAATAGGCATGTTGGCAAAACAATGTCTGTTACAATAAAATACATTAGACGTTTAAATAAATAACCTTAAAAACTAGGCGAAGGGACAGAAACCCAGTCAATTGAATGTGGAGCAATGTTTTCTGCACAAGCGAGAGCAGGCATACCTCTCGTGAAGACGGGCGTAAACAGAACCATCAAACCTACAGAAGCCGAGCGGGCCAGGGGTGGGCTGGGGGTGATCGGAGGCGGGGTGCAGGAAGTGGCAAACCAAAAAATACTGACTGAGGTAGCAGGACTCTGCTCGGTGCAGAAAAATTGGCTTATGATAAAAAAATTAGACTGTGATACCAAATTAAATCCAGATAATCATGCAAGACACAATACATGCTATTTAGTTTTTTAAAAACCACACACATTCACTTCCTAATGTCTGCTGCCAATTAATTTGCTGACAATGTCTGCTGGCTCAACTATTTTTATACAAGGATGAGTATTAAACAGAACACTGTACATGCTTTTTCATCTACAAAAAAATATCTGCATAAAATAGTGTTAGTTCTCTGTACATGTCCATGGACACTTGAATTATGTGTATAAAAAAGGAAAATCTTGTCCCACTGGAGTCAGAAAAAAAAAAAGGCAAAACAAAATATAGAGTATGAAACCTCCTTCACCAGCCAGTATGTTCATGTGAAAATTCAGCAGAAATAGACAGTTGCTTTAAACAATAAAAAAATTAATTGATTAAGTTAAACATCTGTACGTAGGGCTGTCAGTCAAGACCAGAACATATCACTAAAGTTAGTGTCTGTGCTATACACCCAGACCACCAGGGGCGCTATGAGCAGCACAAAGGGCCAGGAAATCCCCTCCGTGCATGCCGAGAGTGAGCAGGATTTGGTGGCAGGCTGCACACACTCTTTACCAGGTTCCAGGTAGTTGCGGGCCACAAACTTGAGCGTCTCGTCTAGGAGAATCACAGGCAAGGAGATTTTCAGCACCATCAGCCACTGGGTGAGATTCAGCGGTGTGATCTGGAAGATAAGCTGAGGCCACAGGCCGGGGAGGTTTTGAGGCCTGCCCTGCAGGAGGCTCCTCAGCCCCACTGGGTGCCCGCAACCCTTGCTGGACCCTTGCTGCCTGTGCACTCACCGGCAGGGGCTCCACGTAGAGGATCAGGAAGTGGAGCGACATGGACAAGCAGATGGAGCCCACCAGCCAGATGTTCTCCCAAGGGGGCATCCTCAGCAGGGACTGGTTTTCAGACAAGCTGGAGGGGAGGGGGGGAGTGACTCATTCCACAGGCTGCAGAGGCAGTCAGGGCTAAGCTATACCTTTCGTCCAGGTGATACTGGGGCTTGAACTCAGGGCCTCATCCTTTGCTAAGGAGACACTCTGAGTCATTCCACCAACCCTAATTTTTGCTTGTTAGTTATTTAGTTGTCGGGCTTGAACTTGGCTTGGGTGCTGTTTCTGAACACTTGCTGAAGGCAAGCACTTTACCATTTTGAGCCACAGCTCCACTTTTGGTTGTCTGGTGGTTAATTGGAGGTAACATGATCCTCAGATGTCAGTCAACCTCCGGATTAGCTAGGATTACAGGCAGGAGCCACCAGCGCCTGGCACTTGTTATTTTTTGTCTTTTTTCCTGTGGTCACCTGCCTGGCTCAATCCACCCCCCACCCCCGCTAGGCTTCGTATGGAGGTCAGGCACAGGGACACACCACCCAGCACTCCAGCTCCAGGTTACACTGCCAACACTGCTGCCACCTGGCCTCACCAGTGACCTGATTCTAGGGACCAGAGTTCCACTGGTGGCAAAATTAAGGAATGTTCAGATGTAGGACAAACTGCCAGTTTTACACCTAAGGCTTCAAGACAACAGGTGCGGCTCAGCTCAAAGCTGCGCGTGGTGCCCCAGGTGCCCAGCTAGTTACAAGTTCCCACTTGTTCTGTCCCCGTGGGACTGGTGTCTACCAGTTATGTTTCTTCTAGGGAAGAGGAAGCACGCCCATCACCACTTCGTGGAGGGGGAGGCGGCGCAGGCGTTCTAATCAGCGGCTCATCTCCTCTCCTATGAGCCGCAGCCAGTGGCTGGAGCTCTTGCCACACTCACCTGTTGAGGGCGTTGCACATCTCTATGGTAACCAGCACAGAGAGCGCCATCGTCATTGGGTACGGGGACTCAAAGATTGCACAGTCCACTCCTTCAAAGTCTGGGTTGTCGTCTTTGCACTGCAGGAAGTGGCTCTGCAAGAGAGTCCCACCCACTCACTCTTCCGCCAGTGCCCTGAGCCCAGCGCCCCGCAGAGCGGAGCAGTCACGGCTTTCCTGGCAAGTTCTCCCCAGAAGCCCTAGGACCCAGAATCCTCCCCACTGTGTTATCTGTGCCTTCAGGTGATCTGACAGATGCTCAAACCACAGCAAGACAAGGGGTGGCTACGTACCAGCTGGTAGAAGGACACCCGTGGGCCACCATCAGCAGCAATAAACCACCAAGCAGCAGCACCCACAGTGGCAGCACCCACGTAACCTGCAAAGGACGCACATGATGCTTAGTGACGTGACACGGGACAAAAAGGTCACTGAGGCTAAGGCTGCTTCTAGCAGCTGTGCCCAGCACTGGGAGTGGTAGGGCCAGAGAGGAGAGGCCACTGCCCCCACCTCGGCCTCTCCAGGGAGATGTGCGTGACCACTGTGCACGCTTTGAAGCTGCAGGTGTGTGGCATCATGGACAGCCATAGTGTTGGGGATCGGTTACACTGTTAGGCCAGCTGCTACAACCCATACAGACATTAATGTTGGGGTGCAGCACAGAGCAGCACCGCTGGGCTGAGATCTGGGGATCAAAGCCAGATTCTTATACTCCAGTTATCAGCAACAACGAAAGTTCAGATTGAGAGAATACGATGCTAACCACTGCCCAGAGTCAAAGACGTAAGGATAAATGCCACCACTTCCAGAAAGCAACAGCAGAGGGCACTGCCCTGAGAAGCTGCAGAGCTGCAGGCACTCAGGGCCCTTCTCTAGACTATCTCATGCCACTGTTTGAGTTCACCATCGCCAGCCACTGTGTTCAACCCCGGGCCTAGTGGAATCCCGGGGCTTGGCATGGCCTCACCTCGCTAACCCATGAGATGGGGAACAGAAGCAGCCCTGGTTCGGGGATGAGGTGTCCACATAGACTGATGGAATGGGATTGAGCTTTACACTGTGGCGATCATTACTCAAAGATGAAGACAGGAAGCCAAGTCTTCATCCTCGGGCTCCTCTGTGCGAAGGAGAATATGGGAATAGGGGAATATGAAAAGCTGATGCCGGACAAGAATAACTGAAGCTTTGTTGTGGTTGTTCTGCTCTGGGGCTTGAACTGAGTTCTGTCCCTGAGCGTGTTTTGCTCAAGGCTAGTGCTCTACCACTTGAGCCACAGCTCCACTTCCAGCTTGTTGGTGGTAAATTGGAGATAAGAGTCTCAAAGACTGTCAAAGCCAGCCGAGGCTTTGAACTATGACCCTCAGATCTCAGCCTCCTGAGTAGCTGGCTTACAGGTGTGAGCCGCCAAACACGGGGCCTGAGCAGCTTTTAGCATAGAGTATGTACTTGGCTGAACTACAAGAGGGCACAGCACACCTCTGAGTTCTGCTACCCTCCTGAAAGATGCGTGCGCTATACTCACAGCCAATAGCCAGGTAACGGAAGAAGAGCCAGCCACTGATCAGCGGCTCCTTAGGGTTCCGGGGCGGCTTGTTCATGATGTCCAGGTCAGGAGGGTTGAACCCCAACGCAGTAGCAGGCAGACCATCTGTCACCAGGTTGACCCAGAGCAGCTGGACAGGGATCAAAGCCTCGGGGAACCCTAGAGCTGCTGTCAGGAAAATGCTTTGTGCCCAAGGAAGAACGAAAAAAAAACAAAAAAAGACCCAATGATTAGAAGAAGGGTTTAGATGCCACGGCTCTGCGCCCCCCCCCCCCCCCCTTGCTGGATATGGGGAGAAGGAAGACGCGCTGTGGGGAAGCCCTGTGCAGCCAGAGGATTGTGTTTCCCACACACCCCAACACAACCCCCCAAAGCTGCTGGAGAGCCAGGGGGTCAGCAGTCCCTGCAGTGGCCACCATGATGCAAGACAGGGCCTACCAGACCACCTCGCCCACGTTGGAGGAGATGAGGTAGCGGATGAACTGCTTCATGTTGTTGTAGATGGCTCGCCCTTCCTCCACCGCCGCCACGATGGTGGAGAAGTTGTCGTCCGCCAGGACCATCTCAGAGGCCGTTTTAGCCACTGCAGTGCCGGAGCCCATGGCAATGCCGATCTCTGACTTCTTCAGAGCAGGGGCATCGTTCACTCCATCGCCAGTCTGAAAGGGAAGGAAAGGCGTGGCCACTTCATAGCTGCCTGGCGCAGGCACATGGCTAGGCTAGCCTGGGAGGGAGTCGGGAGACAGGGGGGGGGGAAGGCCCCGCGGTGGGGAACGGGGAGATGGCTTTACATAATTTATTCTCATAAGTTGGCATATTTTGCCTGGGAACTGTAAGATGGCAAACAAACTTCCCAGAGAGACTGCAGGAAGTGGAGCCCAGAGAATTAAAGTTCGTAATTTTCACCTCAGCCCCAAACTTGCGTGGCATTGGACATGTAGCCACAGGATAAAGATCAGTGTGAAGCACATGTGCAAAGCACC